AGGTTTGTGACACAGGATTTCCCCGTCTCTGAAAACCATTTTGGGCTGCTGGGGGGAGAGAGATCATTCCTTTCTAGATGTTCCACCATTCTTCTCCTGACAATCTTTTCCATGATTTTGCAATGCTATACATGTCAGTGACACTGGTCTGTAGTTTAGTGCTTCATGTCTGTCTCCTTTTTTAAAAAATTGGGACCACATTTGCTGTCTTCCATGCCTCAGGTAATCTCCCTGTTTCGATAGATGTATTGAATTTTGTTGTTAGGGGTACACATAGCGCCTCTGCTCCCTCTCTCGATACCATGGAGAGATTTTATCTGGCCCCATTGCCTTTGAGGTATCTAGCTCACTCAGAAGCCTCTTCACTTCTTCCTCGGTTGTGTGTACTGTGTCCAGCACATGGTGGTGTAACCCCACCTCTCCGTCTTTCTGGAGCCCCTTCTTTTCTCCTCTGTGAAACTTCTTTGAATCTCTTTTGAGTTCTCACATACTTCACTGTCTTTTCTTGTTGTCTCTCCTCCTTCCTCCTTAGCCTGATTACCTGGTCCTTGACAGTTGTTTTCTCCTGATGTGGCGTATAAACACTTGGGGTCAGATTTGGCTTTTGCTGCTATGTCGTTTTTCATATTGACGTTGGGCCTCCCTTCTTATCTGTGTATATTCCATTTCTGGCTCTACACTGCTCTTCTTATTCTCCTGGGTCCTTTGCCTTCTATATTTCTTCCATTCCCTAGCACACTTGGTTTTTGCCTCCTTGCATCTTTGGGTGAACCATGGGCTCATCCTGGCTTTTTCATTATTCCTGTTACCCTTGGGTAAAAACCCTCTCCTCAGCCTCCTTGCACATTGTTGCTACATATTCCATCATCTCATTAACTGGTTTTCCCTGCCAGTTCTCTGTCCCACTGAACCTCATTTCAGGAAGTTCCTCATTCCTGTGTAGTCCCCTTTCTGTAGTTTGGTTTCTTTTGTCCTGGCCTTCCTGCTTTCCCCCCTCCATTTGTAGCTCTACTGTGTATTCGAAGCTCAAAACAACATGATCGCTGGCCCCAAGGGGTCTTTCATATATGATGTCCCAATATCTGCACTCCCAAGGTGAATACTAAGTCCTCTTGCTGGTTCATCCTCCCCCCTCTCTCTTGTAGTGTCCCTTAAACGTGTTGGTACATGGAGTTTTCCAGTACCACCTCCATCATCTTAGCCCTCCATGTATCTTGGCCCCCATGTGGCTCCAAGTTCTCCCAATCGATCTCCTTGTGGTTAAAGTCGCCCATGTCAGGGGCTTTGCCCTGCATGCATGAGCTCTTCTGGCCACTGCAGCCAGTGTGCAACTATCGGCTCTATTTCTCTCGTCATACTCTTGCCTTGGCCTCCTGTGTTTCTGTGGTGGGTTATAAAATTACTGCAAATTTTCACCTTGGACCTCCAGAGTGAAGCGTTCCCGCTATGCAAACCCCTTTCTTCTCTGCTGTTCCTCTCTCAAGCTCATCAAAATTCCATCGGTGTTTGATCAGCAATTTCCACTTCCCACCGACCCTGTTCCTTCTGTCTTTCCTCAGGATCTGGTATCCCGTTGGAAAGATGGCATCTGTTATCATACCTGTTAAGCTTGGTTTCTGTGAATTTCTATGATGTCGGGGATGCCTCTTTGACTCTTTTGTGCCACTCCTCCCACTTGTTTGTTATTCCATCAGCGTCTGTGTACCATACCTCAGTTTCCTTTCCAAAAACTGTGGTTTGGGGGGCCTGTGGGGGTGGGAGACCTGGTAGCATACTTGGGATTCTATGGTTGGGGGTTGGGTGGAAGCTGTGGGTATTGATTGTATTGTGTGTTGGGATGGTGTGATAGGGTTTTTGGGAATTCTGAGGATAGTTGTGTGGTGCTTGCCCTTGCTGCTCTGTTCTGCTCTGACTGACCTCTGCTGGTTTCCAAACCTTGTTTCCCTTTTCCCAGCTCCTTTCGCTTTTTTGTCCTCTCCCTCAGCTACTGTCTCTCTGTATGTTTCTGTCTCTGTCTAGGAACACCTTCTTGTACTCTTCCGACTTTTCAACCGTGGTTTCTCTTGGAGGATCCTGTTCCACACTGTTTCTGTCCTGAGAATCAGCTTGATCGGTCGGTTTCTCCCCTTCAAGTACCGCCCTATTCTCTGAAAATTTACAATCTCGTCCATGTCTTCTCCCCTATTTCCGTGATGATTTTCTCAATCTCCTTCTTTCTTCCTGCCGTCCCTTTTCAGTGTGTGTCCTTTCCTCTCTCCTCCCCCAAAGCCCATGGATAAAACACTGATTTTTGCCCTTTCCTCCCCCCCATTGCCTCTCCCCCCTGTGACTCTGGTTCCTGTCTGTATGTGGTCCCTTTCTCTCTTGATTTTTTCCAGTGGCTCTGGTAGCATGGTTGTGCCTCAGCATTCGACCTATCTCCCTCTCCATCTGCACCCATCTGCTCTTCCCTTTCCCCTCCCTGGCTCTTCTTTGCAGGCTGATATGACCTTAGCATAATTCATATCTCCTTTCCTTCTTGTTCAGCCTCTCAGCTTCGTATGGGTGTCTTCTCTGGTCACTACCCCTGAGACTTGCTTCAGCCTGTTTACCTCAAATTCTAGGACCTTTACCCTGGCTACTGCAGTTTCGACTTGTGCCTCCCATTTCTTCGTCTCCTTCTCCAACCTCTTTTCCCATTTCACAGAGAGCTCTTTCTCCATTTTTTCAGAAAGCTCTCCTAATTTTCTCTCCCATTCTTGCTCTATCCTTTTCCACTGCTCCTCCATCCATTCCTCCCTACCAGTACCATTGTCATCTGATCCCTGATTCCTACGAGTCCCAACCATTTTTTTTTTTTAGTGAAAGAGAGAAAGAAAGAGAAAAAGAAAAAGGGGGAGAGAGTGAGAGAGAGGGAGAAATAGAGAGAGAAGGGGAGGGTAGAAGGAGAGAGGGGAAAAGAAGGGAAAAGGGGGGAGAAAGTGAGAGAGAGGGAAAAGGTAAGAGAGAGAGGGGGAGTGACAAGGGAAGAGAGAGAAAGAAAAGAAGAGGAAGAGAGAGAGAGAGGAAGAGAGAAGAGAGGAAAGAAGAGGAAATAGAGAGAGAGAGGGAGAGAGGAAGAGAGAGAGAGGGAAAGAGAGAGAGAAGAGAGAGAGAAAGAGTGAGAGGAAGAAGAGAGGAAGAGAGAGAAGAAGAGAGAGAGGATGAGAGAAAGGGGGGAAAAGAGAGAGAGAGAGAGAGAGAGAGAGAGAGAAGGGGAGAGAGAGGGGAGAGGAGAGGAGGAGAGGGAGAGTGACGGGTGTGGGGAAAGGAAGGGTTAGAGGGTCACTTCACAGGAAGGTGTGAAATCCTGTATGTGTGTGTGTGTGTGTGTGTGTGTGTGTGTGTGTGTGTGTGTGTGTGTGTGTGTGTGTAACAAGCCAAGGCACCAATGTTATAACAAAACAATGAAAACCTTCAATATGTGATTGAAAACCGGACGACATTACTGTCTTCTTAGGACCATTCTAAATTTATCGACTCTGAATCACAGTGAAAGTCTGTAAAAATGTCAAGGTGTTGTGAGATGAGGAGACTAAACAAGTATCAGATCAAGTCACGGGTGTTTTAAAAAATAGAGTATATGACAAGGGACATTGCCCCTTTTAATTCACTCTACCTGCTGGATGTTCAAGCCCCTACCTCTTAAAACCTCCTTTGCAAACACACTGAAGAAATACTCAGTGATGAATGAAGGTAAATAAGAGGACATATACCATGTGTGTCATACTCTTTAGATGTAGTCTTACCAGCAAAAAAAAAAAAAAAAAAAAAAAATAATAATAAATATTATAATATATATTATAATATAATTATTTTATATATATATCTATATTTTTATTTTATATATTTTTTTATTATAAAATTATATATTATATAAATATAAATTATATATATATATCCTACTAAAAATAAACGCAACCAGGAGTAGGTGTTTACCGTATCCGGAACGACATACGGGGGTTTTGTGGGGCCTCAGAGCTAATTTCATCCCTCCCCGTTTGGTTTTACAGCCTCACGAGCTGCATTATATATATATATATAATAATATAATATAATATTATTTAAATATATATATATATAATATTAATTATATTTATTATATATATATTATTTATATTATAAAATTTAAATATAATATAATATATATAATGTCGGCGAATAGGGAACTTGCGATCTTGCTCTTAAATAGAAAAAACAATTTGCATTTTTTTTTAGACAAGTGAAAATTTGTGTATGCAATAATTTTTGGGCCAAAATCATTCTGATTTAACGAAAAAAATATATTTCACTTTTGTTTTTTAGTATTAAATTATTGTAAAACAAATCTAAAATATTTTAGTTGGGTTAGGCTAAAATAAATTGAGCTTGTTATATAAGGTTAGGTAAGTTTTTTCTAAGTTCTTTTGGCGCCAAAAATTATAAATTTTTTACATAAAATTATGAAAAAATTTAAATAGCTTTGAACGTATAAAAAAAAATTTAGAAAAGATTTAATTTTAGTGAGTTCTTGTTTAAATTGACAGTTTTACTATTCGGCACGACATATTTTATTTTATATATATATAATTATATATATATATAATATAATTTTTATAAAATTTTTATATAAATATATATATATATAAATATTTATATTATATATTATATATATATAAAATATAAATTTTATATATATAATATATATTATATATATATATATATAATATATATATATATTATATATATAAAATATATATATTTTATATATTTTATATATATATATATAAAATATATATATATATATATATATATATATATATATATATATATTATATATATATTGTAACCACGAACGAGTGGTAATAATCTATAACACTGCGACTAGCCAAGGATTCGAACCCATAACGCTCTAACCCACCAAACAATCGTTTCTTGAAAATTATGCATTAACATATAAATGCTTATGTAAAAATATTTATTAATACAACTTGATATTTCAGGATCTTCAGAAAAACGAGGCAACCAAGAATAATAATAACAATGAATGTCCTGCTTGTGGTGTTAGTGTCGGTAACTACACAAAAAGTAGTTGGTCAGGATCTCCTCAGTCAGTCGTACCTTCCCCCGTATCAGGCTGATATATCAAGTATGTTTAAGTAGTTTTATTAATGTTTGATTGGTATTATTGATGTTTATATCATTGCTGTAAATACTGTACTGCCTTAAATGCTGTTAATTAATGCTGGTGTATTTTGATATGCAGTCACTCAAAGTTCACTTTAATCCCGAGTTTAGGGATCAAATCCCGAGTTTAGGGATCAAATCCCGAGTTTAGGGATCAAATCCCGAGTTTAGGGATCAAATCCCGAGTTTAGGGATCAAATCCCGAGTTTAGGGATCAAATCCCGAGTTTAGGGATCAAATCCCGAGTTTAGGGATCAAATCCCGAGTTTAGGGATCAAAGTGGATATTTTGGTTTAGAAAAAACATGTAAACAAACGCTACGATATATTTATTATAAAACGTTTCGCTCTTGGGACCTGGATCAAGGTCCCAGGTCCGAAAAATGTCCTAACAAGTGTCTTTGTGTTTGCTTTCAATGGGTGTGAGATGGACCTGACTAGCTTGTGCTACAAGGTCAGCAAGTGAACGTGACCTGACCTGACTAGGTTAAGGCATTGGTTTAAGCCGGTGGGAGACTTGGACCTGCCTCGCATGGGCCAGTAGGCCTGCTGCAGTGTTCCTTCTTTCTTATGTTCTATTAAGTCTCAATCCTTTACTAATCAGGTTAGGTTCATCAGGAAACAGGACAAGTGTTTCCTGACGCGGGTCTTAGGTGGTAACCTAATTATTAATGCTCCTTCGCATTATTGTTAATGGTGCTTACAACCTAACTTCTTAACAATACTAATGTCTTTGTCATATGATGACCCACAGCTGGAGCTTCTGGTCATCTGACCGAGGCCTTCTGCTGGCTTACCGAATATTTGCCTCAGAACATTTGCCACGAATATCGCATGACTGTGACGATGTTTTCCCCTAATATAACGAAAAAGGCAAGTCTTGACACGACCTGCACGCAAGGTCGGAATTCCTCTCGCAACTTCTAATGACAAATTAAGCCAAAATACGATAATATTCGCTCCTCGGTGTTAAAAAAGAAAAGAAAAAGTTTTTCTAATAGGCTTTGTCCTTGTGTGTGTGTGTGTGTGTGTGTGTGTGTGTGTGTGTGTGTGTTTCGTGTGTATGTGTGTGTGTGTGTGGGTGTGTGTGTGTGTGTGTGTGTGTGTGTGTGTGTGGTGTGTGTTGTGTGTGTGTGTGTGTATGGGGTGTGTTGTGTTTTGTGTTTTTGTGGTTTTGTGTGTGTGTGTGTGTGTGTGTGTTTGTGTGTGTGTGTGTTTGGTGTTGTGTGTGTGTGTGTGTGTGTGTTTTGTGTGTGTGTGTGTGTGTTGGTGTGTTTTGTGTGTATGGTGTGTGTGTGTGTGGTGTGTTGTTTTGTGTTGTTCGTGTGTATGTGTTGTGTGTGTGTGTTGTTGTGTTGTGTGTGTGTTGTGTGTGTGTTTTGGTGTATGTGGGGTGTGTGTGTGTTTTGTGTGTATGTGTGTGTGTGTGTGGTGTGGTCAAAGTTGTTTATGAATTTTAGATCACTGCCCTGTACAATGTACAGAGGACTGAATAATATACTAAATCAAAAATATTGCTACAACGTGCCCATACTAGGTAGGTTTATACTCAAACTCAAGTAGATGAAAAATGGTGATGATTGTAACTAAAGTTTTTAAAGGAGTGGAGTGGTAAGCCAGTGGAAGGCCTCGGTCAGATAACCAAAAGCTCCAGCTGTAGGTCATATGACCCGCGTCAGGAAACACTTGTCCTGTTTCCTGGCAAATCTAACCTAACTTAACCTTCTCGAACTCAAAACCTCCGGAAGGATGATATGTTGGCTACATTAGAGTTGAATATCAAATTGTTTAGCGACAACTCTTGCTCTGGTGGCCTGGTGGTTAACGCTCTCGCTTCACACGGCGAGGGTCTGGGTTCGATTCCCAGCCAGAGTAGAAACATTGGACGTGTTTCTTTCCACCTGTTGTCTATGTTCCCCATCAGTAAAATGGGTACTTGGGTGTTAGTCGACTGGTGTGGGTCGCATCCTGGGACACTGACCTAAGGAGGCCTGGTCACAGACCGGGCCGCGGGGGCGTTGACCCCCGGAACTCTCTCCAGATAAACTCCAGATAGTGTACCGATAAATGGCTTAAACTTGTCTGTTGTCAATTCCTGATCTGTATCTAGGCTGGAATTGTCTATTGAACAAGGAAATATAAATTGCTTGGGTAATTAACTTGTAAAAGGCCCCTCTCAATTCTACAATCTTGATTTTAAAGGAGGGGATACCTTAATAGTGGGGAAGAAGGGCTCTTGATACAGGGAACTGGACTGTCTCCTCCTCCCCCCCAAAGTCTTCCCTGAACACAAACGACAAGGTCAGAGTCGTAGCTATAATTGTTGAGTTCACAGCTATAATCCCTGAGTCACGGCTATAATTGCTGAGTTACAGTTATAATTGCTTTAAAAAGTCAAGCGTAATCTCTCAAGCATAAAAAAATATATGACTACAGTTTTCTGTGTTTTAATATGGATACACAGGATCCTCCAGTCATTACAGTAGCTGTAACTGATGAAAAAAACACTAATTGAAACTAAATTTAAACGATGGTATTCCTGCACCATCAATTACGCTACTCCAGTTGGTCACTACGAAAGGTCAGAATAGGTGACCTTCAGGCTGGTTTGTTGAAGTTCTGAGTGTTTTCTCCTCTCGTAATAGCTACTAGTCTTGATGATATTTGCTTCGTCCGGGGAAAATGTCGCTTGATGCTGGTTTTTTTTAGGCAGATGACCCGGTCACTGATTAAGAAATCACAGGGGAACAGGTGCTCGTAAGTACATTATTAAAATTATTGCCACCATATTTATGGGGAAGAGTTAAAACTGCAGTGGTCATCCAGCTCATTGTACAGTTTAAAACAAAGTGGGAGGGTCGAATTGTCTCTTCTGGGTCACTTGATAAATGGTACAAGGTCATTGGTCATACAGAAAACGACAATGCGCTATTAGGCAAAAAGAATATGTATACCGAAAGTTATATATATATATATATATATATATATATATATATATATATATATATATATATATATATATATTATATATATATATATATATAAATATATATAATTATATAATATATATATATATATATATATATATATATATATATATATATATATATATATATATAAATATAATATATATATATATATATATATATATATATATATATATATATATATATATATATATATATATATATTATATATATATATATATGAGAAAAACAGTCATGTCAACATTAAATCAAGAGCCCCCCACCAACATCAAGGAACCTTCCCTGAGGGGACGAAATCTTAACGACACGATTGTTTGTTTGCTAGTTAACTCGTCATCCAGTAACTATCATCAACTCGTCATCCAGTAACTATCATCAACTCGTCATCCAGTAACTATCATCAACTCGTCATCCAGTAACTACCATCAACTCGTCATCAGTAACTACCATCAACTCGTCATCCAGTAACTACCATCAACTCGTCATCCAGTAACTACCATCAACTCGTCATCCAGTAACTACCATCAACTCGTCATCCAGTAACTACCATCAACTCGTCATCCAGTAACTATCATCAACTCGTCATCCAGTAACTATCATCAACTCGCCATCAGTAACTACCATCAACTCGTCATCCAGTAACTATCATCAACTCGTCATCCAGTAACTACCATCAACTCGTCATCCAGTAACTACCATCAACTCGTCATCCAGTAACTACCATCAACTCGTCATCCAGTAACTACCATCAACTCGTCATCCAGTAACTACCATCAACTCGTCATCCAGTAACTACCATCAACTCGTCATCCAGTAACTATCATCAACTCGTCATCCAGTAACTATCATCAACTCGCCATCCAGTAACTACCATCAACTCGTCATCCAGTAACTATCATCAACTCGTCATCCAGTAACTACCATCAACTCGTCATCCAGTAACTACCATCAACTCGTCATCCAGTAACTACCATCAACTCGTCATCCAGTAACTACCATCAACTCGTCATCCAGTAACTACCATCAACTCGTCATCCAGTAACTACCACCAATGTCAAAAAACTTTCTCACTGACGAAATTTTATTATAATAATTATTATTATTATACTCGAAAAATATAAGAGTAACCAGAGTTAAACTGAGGGAAAATTACCAGTACCATTTACCAAGATAATGATACACGGAGTGAGGTACATATCTCCCAGTGTATATTAAATATAGTTAGTTTACTTTAACCTCAAATTTTAGGTATTAAAGTATTCATAACGTGTTAAAGCCTTAATGACCCTGTGTGTAATCGATAACCTTTGAACCCCCATTAACTCTTCAACCAAAAAGATACAGGTCTTTCCTAACGAATAAAATACCACCATCACATGCTACTACTACTACTACTAATAATAATAATAATATATCAAGAGAAAACCCCTAAAACTGTAAAGATCATCCTGTACTTGGGAAACTGATGAGCCTTGGTTCAGTTTCTTAAAGGAAAAGTGTTTTCTGACGCGGGTTTTAGTCATATGATGACCCACAACTGAAACTTTTGGTCATCTGACCGAGGCCTTCCGCTGGCTTACCACTCCACCTCTAAAAATCATGGCTATGATTATAACTGTTAATTTAATACCTTCATTATGCACCCCATACCCATCTGTGGGCGGTAACTGTTATAATTCTTACGTACATTATTTTCAGGAAATCATATATAGCTTATGACAGTTTTAAATTATATTAAAACTGATAAATAACTTTCATGTAATATTTATTAACTTCTTTATTAAAGTTTACCCTGTAAAAGTTACTATAGGTGAAAATAAAGGAGCAGCGCCACCTACTGGCAGCTGTGATAATAATACTAGTAACACTAATAATAATTCGTGCGATGTAGCGTTATTAATGGCATTTGAACCCCATCACCTTGACATTAATCTGGCCTTATTAATCACCTCTGATCTTTTAAAACTACTGTCTGA